GGCCACTGGATAACATATGTCTGTGAGAAAGCATTCCCGGGGCTCTCGGGAAGCGAGTGCAATTAACCGATTAGTGAGGGGGGTTTCTTGTGTAGATTTATGATTGATTTTTTGTATCTTAAGGTAAGAAATTTTTTCCGTTTGAGGGGAACCGCGTTTTCCCGTTTAATCAGGCAATTTCCTTTTTCTTTTTTCTCCTGAGGCATTATGGCCGTTTTGTAATATCTTCCCTTGTTCTTATCGGCTCTTGTAATTTATGACACGAAGGAAACCGTGCGCGCTGTAAGTCCCTCCCGTCGTCCGTTACACTTTGAAAAGTTTCCTAGAAACGTTTTCTAAGGACAAATGGAGGTACTCACCGCGCGTACCAGAAAAAGGGAGGGGAAAGCATCAACGAGATACATGCCTTATTTCAAAGCTAAGGAAAGTTGGACTCATAATTTTTGTATTCTTGGGGGAGTAATTGACGATCAAACCCCTACAAAGGATAATTTACTGGATCTCCAGAAGGCTGGCTTGGGGAGGAAATAGGTAGTATTTGAAAATAACAAGTCAAATCATGAAGAATTCATTGTAGCCCTTGAAAAGGCATGCCCTAAACTTAAAGAGGGAGGAGGTGTGGAGCTGCCTTAAGCTGTTGGAGGTGGTGGAGGACAAAGGAAACTGGAAACTATTCCACCTGGTCCAGATGGCTATTCCATTCCTTACCTGAGATGCACAGTGTGTGTTGGTCAAGCAGTCACCTATGTAAGACCTTTGCAACAGGAATTAGACCTCAGCCCACAATCCACCAGTCTGGTACTGTGTTCGAATGTTTTTTGTAATTAATTTTTAATTGAAGGAACTATTTTGTCATCAGAAGAAGAGTGCAGGGAGCGGGAAGGGTTCAGATGTGTTTTGTGAAAGGGACTTGCAAAGTGGGATGGAGTCAACTTGCTTTTTTCTAGTATTTCTTAAAGACCCCATAGATCCCACCAGCACCCCCCTGGTGAAAAATGGTCTCTCACCTTCGACACATATTACAGTACTTTCATTTGTGACATAATACAGTTTATACCATCACAGTAAATTACTTCTGTACCTACAGCAGTTTTATTGTTACTCATAGTTTTAAGAATGTAAGTTGTGCTAGCATGCGAGTTACTCCAAATTGTTACATAATATTATATACCACTGTGTCATCTATAGTGTTGCTGTTTTTACACTGGGTTTCATCTCATAAATAATTTGTAAATTTTTATTTGTTGCGATATAATTTATCTTCTATACACAGTTTGTAGGAGACAAGGATTACCCGACTGTTGAATGCATGTCATGTGGCCAGAAAGTGAATTATGGTCACCTTAGGGTCCATAAGGAGAAGGAGTGCAAAGAATCTACACTTAAGGTATTTGTCAAAGCTATTGTTGAAGTTAAAGTCAGGACGTGATTACATTTCTGCCCATGTAATTGAGTTCTACAAAGCACTTCAAAACAGTTTTCTTAGATGCATGTAAAGTGACTATTAGTGTACATATGAAAAAGTAATGCAAATTATACCATGGAATATGCAAAAATATAGTGACCACAATATACTTGGGTATTGCTAGCTAGAAAGCGACAAACGATTTCATAGCAGATGTTAACAGATAAAAAGTGACTACTACTTAGTAATTTGCAGGTTTATTGAATTCACTTCCAACATTGTGAGATAAAATGTTGCTGCTTTTATTGGTAGGATTGTGGTGATGAACTGTCAGATCCTTTTTTTCAAGCAGGCCCATTTCATATTGATTTAACTTCTGCAATGAGGTATGTGTCAATTATGAACATGCAATAATTAGCAAGTTATCATTTTGTCATGCATATTTATTTGAGGCTGCAAAGTCTCAAATATTTTCCCTAAATGATTATCAATTCCCCCATTATAAACATATATTTCATTTAACCTTTTAATTGCAAGAAGATTGGTGCTGAAGGACAAACTGCATCTGTTGACACCAAAGCCAGGCCATCTTTAGATTCCACTTATGAAACTGAGGTACATGTACATGTTTATCTATGGTACAATACTTTTATCCACCATTTGCAATAATGTTTTTGACAAAACATTTTTACATGGATATTGTTAAAGTAATAACATTTGGTTACAGCTTTTGAGAGATTGATGCAAATACTATTTATTGTTTTATGATATGCAATTAAACAAATAAAGAAAATGCACCGTATAATTATGTATAGTATATGATGGTGTGAAATAGCATTATTAGTAATGCAAGCTGATGTGTTTAATTCAATCTGTTTAAGTACACACATGTATAATTACAGAAAACAGTGTGAAAATAACATTTTTGTTTAAATTCAAAACAGTTCTCTTGAAGAGCCTAGTACAAGTTGCAGTCGTATTGCAGTATTTTAAAAATACTATATGTACCTTCATTTTAGGAGCATGTCTTCCAAACTTTGAAGAACATGTTTCCTGACATCAATGAGGTGCTTTTACAAGACGTTGCAGGAAATGTGTTGAACAGTAATGAAGCTGTGAATGTTATTTTAGAGAAGCAAAACCAGATGCAAGAAGAAGCTGCACCATATTGCAAAAAAGTTATGAGAAAGCAGTATCTGTCTTTTACTGCTTGTGATTACCTTGGTTACATTATTTAGAGTGCCTTTGAAATTAAAATGTTGTCATACATATTTAGATTGCATTTCAACATCCTTTGATAATGAGGAAAAATGGCATAATGAAAATAATATTGCCATGGAAACATTCCTAGCCCCAGATTCCTTTGAACTACTTGAACATAAAATTCAAATTGCTGCCACTGTCATACAAAATCATTTGCTTTAAGCCACTCATAATTATGCAATACCTATATTGTTGAAAATTCTCATATGCCTATTTGAATTTGTATTTGTAGTTATAGATTCGTACAGTGTACAGGCAAGAGAACAATAGGACACGTAGTCCCCTACTAGGTTCACCCACCTAAACCAACCCCAACCCAACAGTCCTGCACTCTATCCATCAAGCTAACTGGGAGGTGGTTGGGGAATGCTGCAGTAAGGGAATTTCTTTTACTTCAAGAAGAAGCCTTGGGCAAAGATTGTTTCCATGATAACATCTGATTTTCACAATGTGTATTTCCTTGTATATTTGTCACCACACATGTACAGTTTGAGTTGCTTTTAACGACTATTTGTAGAGATATTCTTCATTTCCTAATTTTTGTTCAGGCTTAGTCAACCTCATGACATCATAAATCAAAAGTGGTATATTATTCACTTCAAAAAAAATTTGAAATGCAATCATTATATTAATGACAAAATTTTCATGTCATAGGCACTAACAATGAATCAGCATGCTTTTCAAAATTAAACATTGAATTTCTCATGGATCTAGATGTTTTTAATAAATTATTAGTGGTTTGTATGATAAAATATTGTACAAAGCACTAATTGTTAATTTTAAAAAAATTATCAACATGCATTAACCATCTAGATCAATGAGAAATCCAATGTCTAATTTTGAAAAGCATGCTTATTCGCTGTTAGTGCCTACGACATGAAAATTTTGTCATTAAAATTATGATTGCATCTCAACATCCATTTGAAGTGAAGAGTGGTACTGAGTGGTCCATATGGTTAACATTTTTTCCTGGTAGTTTCATTTTCAGAAACTTCAACTTGTAACTCCAGCTGTGACAGCTAGAAGTTATTCAAGGACTATGCAGACAGTTTTGTTGATCTAACAATCCCAACAAACACAATACATGTAAATTGTGATGAAGACATGTTCACCCAGGCCAGATTGATCTACAAAAGAATGGATAAGAACAAATTAAAAGCAGTCCCAAATGTAGTTTTTGAAGGTAATTATATCAGTGAATTGGGAAGTGATGCTGGTGGCCCAAGCCGTGAGTTCTTTTTTCTTGCTTTGACTTCCTGCATGCAGGAAATGCAAAGTGGTGGTAGTATGTTTTTTACAGGCACAGCGAATCACCTTGTGCCTGTTCACGACTGGGATCTGCTTGAGGATGGAAATTTTATTCTGGTTGGAAAGATCATTGGTCATTCTATGATACATGGTGGGACTGGCTTTGTTGGTATGTCTCAAGGAATTGTTAAATATATTAAGACAGAAAGTGTGGATGTAGCAGCTGCTAGTATCACAACTGAAGATGTTCCTGATTCTGATGTTCAAGCTCAAGTTGGAAAAATAATAGATACACCCGATGACGGACTCTCCAAACTATGGATGAATGACAGTCTATTGATAGACACATTACAGCAGGCTGGTGTCCAGAAACTGGAAGCAAAGAACAAGGAAAAGGCAGATCAACAAATCCTATTGCACCAAGTTCTTCTGAAACGGAAGTACGAAGTAGATGATATAATCAAGGGGTTGAAAACCTTGTCGTTAACGGAATTCCTTAAAAGGCATCCATGTGTTTCTCCATTGTAATTTCCAACGGAGAGTGATGTTGCGGTACCAACATCTGTTGTTCTTAACAAGTTAGCTGTTGATGTTGATGAGCCACAGCCACTTGAACCAAACAAGCTTAGGTCGTATGGTTTTCTTCAAGACTACATCAAAGATTGTGAAGAGAAAAACACAGGTAAGGGGTATACCATTTTACTTCTAGCAGTGGGGGGTGGGAGTGCATTTTTGGGTGTTTTTTTGGCTCACTGTTTGTGCATGAATATTTTAATTGCAGTGGGTAGTCATGTTGTGCAGGAATGTTTTTATTGTACATGTATGCTTGCAGGAAATTCATTTTCAAAAAATCACTTCCCCCCCTCCCTTTATGGGATGAAATGGTTCACCCCTAATACAGTATCATTTATATTACTTGTCCTGCTTGAATCCAAGGGGTTATTTACTGATCAGGGCTTGCTTTTCATTTCATTCAGGTGACAGACAGACCATTTGTTGCACTCCAAAGTTTCTACTCTTCTGTATAGGCTCCCCTCATGTGTCGGTAATGCGTGCGACCAAGTCAATTATGGTGGCTTTTCACAGAGATCCCAGGGCAGTTTATCCAAAGGCAAATACTTGTATTGGGCAGGTTACATTGCCAACTTGCCACACATCATATGAAAACTTCAAATACATGTTCAACAAAGCAATAGAAGTTGAAGGCCAGGGTTTTATGATAATATAACAGTCAGAGTTTTAACAATTTTTGCCCCAGGACTGAAGCACTCACTTAGACTGACAAAAAAGAAGAAAAAAGTTTAACCTTTTTGTAAAATGTTAGGTTTCACAGATTGTTTCAGTTACATCAAATGCATGCTGTGCATGCATTCTTTGGAGTATTTTTTTGGTAATGTTGAGTTTTTCACACATTGTTTCTGTTACATCAAATGCATCATGTACATGCGTTCTTTGTCGTTATAGCTTTTAATGATTTCTGAATGATTACTTATTTTTAACAACCCATTATTTGCTTGATTGTTTTTCATTAAAACTTCAAGGTGATCAGATACAAACCGTATGTTAGAATGTTTTACATTTAGTATTATGACAAAAGTCACATAATAAATGACAATAGACTGCAACTTGACTGGTTGCAATTTGAGGGACCTCGCTTGTCTCCTGTATGGTTTTCACTGGAAAAACCACCAAGGAATGCACAGATTCAATAGGACAGCGTCACAAGTTATATTTCAGTCGCATGCTTATCCTCAGTTTTTCTCGTTTGCTTAAGTTTTTATGGAAAGATAACATACAGCGAAATTGTCCCACGTGATCCAAAAGCCAAAAATAAAAGGGAATTTGACGAAGACATGAAGGACAATTCAGCAGCATGTTTCTTCATTGTATAAGCTTTAAAATGAAGTATAGGTTTTGGTGCTGAGCTTTTCGCACAACGCGGTCACAAAGGTTTACAGTAACTTTAACCAGGTAACTAAGAATATGTTGACAGTCCCTTACAATGCTGCATTAGTGATTTGAAAATACCTACGTCATATGTTGTCTGACAAAGTCCACAGCTCCTAAGTATATGTCAACACCCCTATTGACATTTGCACGCTTTGGGTTGATAGTTCTATGCAATTCAGCCAGTGCTTCATCACTTAATGGGCAAAGAACATCCAGTACATCTATTAAGTCATCTCATTCAGTTGACTCTGGCAATATCCCTTCAGAGNTCGGAGCTTTTCTATAACAGAATTCACTGGAATGTCAACATCTGGTTTGGCTTGTGTATATCGACTCAAAACGCCTAAAAACCAATCGAGACGAAATTTTTACGCTATCTAACTGATCTTGTCCAACACTGTGCCTCTCCAATTGAGAAACTAAATCGAGAAGAAACCTTTTTCCATACAACCGTAGGGCTTCCATCGACGCTTCCATCTTGTACTTTGACAGTATGTGGTTGTGAGAGCCTGTGTACTAATCTTTTGGGTGCGACCGCAGTTAAGACGTTCTAAAGGCGCATACCCCGATAAAATGACATAACCCGATAAAACGACATGACCGAATAAATTGACGACACGACCCGATAAAATGACGACATGACCCGATGAAACGACTGAAGCCGGAAAGCCCGATAAAAGGACGACATGACCGAATAAATTGACGACACGACCCGATAAAATGACGACATGGCCCAATAAAACCACGACAACACCCAAAAAATTGACGACACGACCCGATAAAATGACGACATGGCCCAATAAAACCACGACAACACCGATTAACACTGCGGTACGACGCGATAACACGACGACACGGCCCGATAAACCCGATCGTTATCGTAATAGACCCGTGAAAGTGATAAATGTGTCAGGAATCTTCCAACTGCTTCTATCACAAGAGATTTTCCCGATAACATTCACGTTAAAATGACCCACAGATTCGACTCATCTAACTATTTTTAATGTCCCAAAAAACAAAAACACTCGCTCAATCACACGTCGCCTCGCACATGGTTATTTTTCTTAAAATCAAATCTTACATCACGTGGTTACAGCTAATCAATGGGTAACAAGAACAAAGGGAACAAAGTTCACTTCCACAGCGTGACAGTCACGCAGTCCAATTCTCAACAAATGAGATACAATGAAATCTATAAAGTTCACATATATATCAACTTAACGGCCTGCTCCCAGTTGGCTTGTTAGCTCAATTGGTAGAGCGCTGCACTAGTATCGCAGAGGTCAGTGGTTCGA